CCTAATCTAGGGGGCTCAGAGGCTGATCCGTTCACTATGTGCAAAATAACCTTCCAAGAGATAGAGACAACACTAAGACCATACTCAAACATAGGATCCAATCATCGATCCAAAAGATCTCACAAACTCAAACATTAATCACCAATAAACCAACCTCCTGCCTAACCAAAATAGACGCAACACAGGCCTACAACTGGCCAAATTATTGTAGTAAGATATATTATACAGGGTTCTTCTAGATTAACCAAGATCTTATGTAAGATCACAAGAAATAGAAACCAAAAATAGAAGAAGAAGAAGAAAAGTCTTTCGAAGAACCAAAAACAGAGATCTCAAACCAAGATTGAAATGATCATCTTGCAATTGACTCCTCAAATATCACACTCATTGTTGTTGCTTAATCCTCAGCCATTGATCAAATATGGACGACCAAGATATTGTTTAAAGAAACACAACTCGAGTGAAGCTCCAACCGCTAATTGGGGGTTGCCACTTGGGTTTTCCACATCTAAAAGACATTTTTGCCCTTACAAAAGTGTTGATTTGAGGAACACATTTTCACAATCTTTACCTTGGTTCTCAAATCATCTATTGTCTCTAGTATGCTAGATTACACATAAAACAAACCTAGACATCATCATTGTCTAAGTTACTTGCAAAATAAATCAACATGTATCAATATGAAGAATAGATAAACATGATCTAAACTTATTAGCTGGTAAAATATTTGTGTCCATATTCGATATTTTTTCATCAGTGTGATTTTTCTTAAGATTCACATCACTAGAGGATATATATATATATATATATATTTTTTTTTTTTTTATGAAGTGATATTTCACCTCAATATGTTTAGAGCTCTCATGATATACAGGGTTCTTACTCAATAATAAAGCAATCTGGCTGTCGATAAAAATTGTTGGGGTCTCTTGTAAAAAAATTAACTCAGTTAAGATTCCTTTCAACCACAGGCACTCTTTCAGAGATTCAGTGATGGCTATATATTTTGCCTCAGAACTAGATAGGGTAACTATTGATTGTAACTGAGATTTCCAGGTAATACATTTTTACCCCAATGTAAAGAAGAAGGTAGTAGTAGACTTTCTCTTATCTTTGTCACCAACAAAATCAAAGTCTACAATCCTACAAGAGTCAGACCTCTTTTCAAGTATCAAACCAGTAATTAATGTTCCAAAAATGTATCTTAGTAGCCATTTTAAGCCTGCCCAATGGGGCTTTCCTAGATTTGACATAAACCTACCGAAGAAGCTAATGGCATAAGCTAGATTGGGTCTTGTTGTGATCGTTGAGAACATGACAGACCCTATGGCATTAGCATATGGAATGTTTCTCATCTCTCTCATCTCATTTTCAATTTTTGGTGACTGAGCAGTGGAGAGATTCATATGGGCAGCTAAAGGTACATTAATAGACTTGGCTTCTTTCACACCAAACTTTGTTATAACTTTATTTAGATAGGATTCCTATGATATTGTCAATTTATTCTCAAGTCTATCTCTCTTTATAACCATCCTTAAAATTTTCTTGGTATTGCATAAGTATTTCATATCAAACTCAGATTTCAAGAGGTACTTTAGTCTTATTATTTCAGTCATACTGGTACTTGCTAGGAGCATATCATCAACATAAATAAAAAGGTATACTTCACTTCCATTCTTAGCATCGTTAAAATATAGGCAATGATCATAATCACTTCTCTTGAACCCAATTTTGAGCACATGCCAAACCTTATGTACCATTGCCTTGAGCTTTGTTTGAGCCCATGCAAGGATTTTTGTAATTTACACACAAAATCTTGTTTTTCCTTCACCTCAAAGCCTTCAGATTGAAACATAAATATTCTCTTCCAATTCACCATGCAAGAATGCAATCTTGACATCTAATTGTTCAAACAATTGAATTGAACAACTAGTTCAAGAATCATTCTTATGGTTTTATATTTTATAACAAGCGTGAATATTTCATTATAATCCACTCATTCTCTTTGGTTAAAGTCTTTGGCAACTAGCCTAACTTTATACATTATGGGGTTGGATGAGTTATTTCCTTCCTTTAACTTGTAAATCCACTTCACTGAACAATTCTACGATTATTAGTCCTTTTTACCAACTTCCATGTTTTGTTTTCAGTTAGGGATTTTATTTCTTCCCTCATTGCAGTTTTCCAATTTGCAGCATTTGGGCAATTCATTTCCCTAATGCTTTACCAGATGTTAATGCAAAATCAATTAAATTGTTAATTTCATACCTATGGTTAGGCTTCACTTGCCTTCTTTCCCTATCTCTCACAAATTAGTAATCTTGACTAATAAGTTCAGTGTTAGAATTGTTCGGAGCGGTCCAATCTCAAGTTCAGTTTCTATGTTAGGGGAACTACCTTCACCTTCATCAGGCTTCCCAATCCTCTTTGGAGTTTCTTGTGCAGCAGGTTCATTTTCATTAGGTAATGAGTTAATGAACCCGACCAACTTAACTTCGTTAGTAGGAATGTTTCCTTCATTTGGCTCAACATGTTTTTTAGTCCTATTATTTAAACATGACATTTCAGATTCATTGAAAACAACATTCCTACTATTGATTATTTTTATGCCTTTTCCAAGACACATAGTCTGTAATCCTTTACCCCTTCAGGATACCCTCAGCAAAACACACTTTGGCCTCGTTTGGTAGCCATTTTTTTCAAAATGTATTTTCTCTCTTCTTTTTAACCCACATTCTTTATTAAAATAATATTACACGTAAATCAAAAAAAATCTTATTTTTCTACCATACATTTCACATCAATTTACTATTCTAAAACTCATTTTTACATAAAAATACCTATCAAAAACCCCCTTTGTTGCCCTAGGATCCAATTTTTCTTCAGTTTGATGTGCATATGCAGCACATCCAAAAACTCTAATATGTGATAGGTCAGGTGGTTTTCTAGTCTATAGTTCTTGAGGTGTTTTAAAGCTAACAAAATTGCTAGGTGACCTATTTATGAGGTATGCAGCTATACAAATAGCCCCAGCTCAGAACCCTTTTACAAGCCCTGAGCTGATAAGAAGGCATCTGACTTTGTTCACGAGTGTTCTATTCATTCTTTCAGCTAACCCATTTTGTTGGGATGTGTTTCTAACAATCCTATGTTAGACATCCCTTTTTGTTTACAGAAGTTCTCAAATTTAGAATTACAGAACTCCAATCCATTATCAATCCTTAGTGTTTTCAGTTTCTTATTCAACAAGTTCTAAATTTTTGGAAAGTTTTAGATTTGACCCTCAAAGGTAAACCCAGACTTTCCTGAAATAGTCATAAATAATGGACAGAAAGTATTTGTTCTCCCCAAAGGTGGGGTGACTTTCAGGTCCCTGCAAGTCAGAATGAACATAATCCAAAGGTCTATTAGTGGTATGAGACCCTATATTAAAACTCACCTTATGGGACTTACCTAATACACAAGTCTCATAAAACTGAAGGGGCTCAGTTATATCTTTCCCAAGTAACTTTTTATTACTTAGATATTTTAGGCCCTTATTGCCAATGTATCCTAATCTATTATGCCAAAGTTTAGACTTATTTTCATTTTTAGTTAAAGAGCTATTATCCTGACTGGTTATGGTTTCTCCAGCAAGATAATATAGCCCATTCTTCTTGGGTCCTTTCAACACAACAAGTGATCACTTCATCACTTTTAGTATGTTATTATTAGATTTAAATGCATACCCTTCATCTTCAAGAATCCCTAATGAAATAAGGTTTCTTTTTAAGTTTGGGACATGCCTAACATTCTTGATCTGTCTCACAATGTCATCATGCATTTTAATAGCAATGTCACAAATTCCCTGTACTATTTGGGAATTGTTGTCTCCCATGTACACTTTCTTGGATTCAATTGGATTGTAATTGTAGAACCAAGATCTATTAGGACTCATGTGAAATGTGCATCCTGAGTTTAAGATCCAATCCTTGTCACTATCATCATTGGACACAATCATTACAAGAAGACTATCCAGATCATGATTGAAGTAACATTGTTCAGGTCAACAATGCTTTGGTATTTGTGTTTCCTTTGCAATTCAAAACAGTCTCTTAAAGTGCCCAAGTTTTTCACAGTGATAGCACTTTTTATTACTCTTATCCCTAGATTTGGATCTACCTCTGGATTTAGATTTAGATTTTCTATTTTGGGTATTATTTTCTTTCTTGTCTGTTCTCCCTCTCACAAACATGCCATCTTTTATTGTATTAGATTTAGTTTCTTTCTTGATCTCTAGTTCTCTAGCTCTTAAAGCATTTGTTACTATAGTCTAAATTAGAGTATCTCTTGAGTATTTTATGGCATTTTTAATATCCTTATAAGATTTAGGTAGTAAGTTAAGTAGTATAACTGCAAGGTCTTCATCATCATATTTCTGTCATTATGTACAAGACTCTTAACTAAAATACTAAAATCACTCAAGTTTGCTTCTAGGTCTTTCCCAGTGTCCATCTTAAAACTGAATAATTTCTCTAGCAAATAGATTATATTGGGCAATGTCATAATTAAGAACAATGCTTCAAGTGCAGTCCATAAGGCTCTAGGTGTTTCAGAATCTTCGTCTTGTCTCATATTGTTGTCAGATAAATGCTAGATAATTGGACTATAAGCAATTTTGTTTATTTCTAGAATTTCATCAGGTTTAGCTTTTAATTTAGCAGAAAAAGTTTCAGGATCATCTAGGGCCTTAGCAACCCTTTGTTGGACCAATATACCCTTCATTTTCTACTTCAATATCAAGTATTCCCATTTTCCATCGAATTGAGACAACTCAAACTTCGAATCCATTACAGGTTCTATAAAAGGGTTGTGATTACCTGTCGACATAAGTGATTCTTAATAGTTGGTCACTTAAGTGCAGGAAAGGTTTTGAAAAAACTTTGCAACAATTAAAAGGTAAACTGACTTAAGAATGACAATATAGTATCAACAAGAGTATGCAAGCTGTCAAAACAAAGTCAACAAGTAATTAATCTCAAGATCGCATAATACAATATATTGAGATTACCAACTTAAAACATGCCTCAATTCCATCTCATACAGATATCATATACAAGAATGAAATTGTTCTTAAAAAATTTTCCCATGACGTATCACCCAATCTTTAAGAACAACAAATGCATGCTTTTTAGTTATTATGAGTAAAGTCAAAATTAGAATAGTCTCTCCCACTGCACGGTTGACTTATTAAAATTCAAATACTTAGACCACCTTCAAGAAACCCATTTGAGCTCAAGATGCTAAGATCACCAGTTATGGCTTTCAGCCACTGCACTTATCAGAAAATTGATCAGTAATAATTTCCAGAAAAATATTCAATATATAAAAAAATATGAATTAAAGTGGATCAAGAAGATGATTCTCTTAGAGGAAATCGTGACTCGAAGCCCTAATAGCTTCGATACCAGATTTGTAAGGATTTACCCATTTGTTTCAATGCTCGTGTCAGAATAAACAATCAATCAAGCACAAAAGTAGTAAAGAGCACAAACGATTGTTTACCCAGTTTGGCGAAAAATGCATAATCTAGGGGCTTAGAGGCTGGCCCGTTCATTATGTGCAAAATAACCTTCCAAGAGACAGAGACCACACTCAGATACAGGATCCGATCATCAATCCAAAAGATCTCAATCAAACATTAATCACCAATAAACCAAGGACCCTATTGCCTAATCAAAATAGATATATGCCTTACAATCTACCAAATTACTGTAGCAAGATATATTGTACAAGGTTCTTCAAGATTAACCAAGATCTCATGTAAGATCACAAGAAACATAAATTAAAAATAGATGAAGAAGAAAAGTCTCTGAAAGAACAAGAAAGAGAGATCTCAAGAAGAACCCAGAAGTTGAAAAGCCAAGATTGAAATGACCGTCTTGCGATTGGCCCCTCGAGTACCAAATTCGTTGTTGATTTATCCTCAGCCATTGATCAAATATGGACGGCTAGGATGTGATTTAAAGAAACACAACTCGAGTGAAGCTCCAACCGCCAATTGGGGGTTGCCATGTGGGCCTTCCACATCCAAAAGACGATTTCACCCTTACAAAAGTGTTGATTTGAGAAACATGTTTTCACGAACACTATAACAATATATCTTTTTTATTGTTCGAAAATATATTTATTTTATGAAATTTTTAAAATTGCATTTGGTACTATAATTTGTATGTATTATTAAATAATATTTAAATTGATTTAAAATTTAAAATAATAAAACACTTTTTAACCATTTTTATACCTTAGCTTCACCTAGACTCAAATCAAGCCTCCACGCATTATTACACATTACGCTTTTTAGAACACTGCTTGTAAGTATGCATATCTCAAGTAATCTCAGTACCAAGACGCAATAAACTCAATGTTCAAAAAGCAAAAGTGTTTCATCCAACAATGCAATTTGTATATATCTTCTAAAGAAAATTAGATAATCATGTATGGAGACATAACTCTCTCACTGCGTAAAATCGTGTTTTCCAATAACTCTATCCATGAGGAATGGCAAGTCGAATCAAATCAATTCCCATGGAGCAGTGGGGACGAGGCACAGCAAAACACATATGGCATGAAAAGCTTTATTGTTTTGCAAACAAGAAGCGATAAATTAAAGCCTTGCTTTGCTCTCCCACTTGCAAATTTCTTTTCTGGAAAGTATTCAACAAAATACACAGAAATTAAGAAAAAGTATGTATAGACAGAAAGAAAAATATATCAAGTTGGGTTCTGATCGTACAGCAAGTTGGTTGTCAATGTCAAGTTGGAGTAGCAGGTTTCCCATTTCCACAAATAAACAGGGTTTTTAATATAAAAATAAACTGGTTTTCTATCTTAGCATTGGAAATCTAGGTGCCCTGTCAAGGAAATGCCTTATTGCATCGATTGATGCTGATAGGTTCGAGATATTTACTGTTTATGATATTTATCAAATTTTGCATGGCTGAATTCTAACCTACTTTACCTGTTAGGTAAGTTTTCGGCAAAACGACCTCTTAGGAGCGAAAAGATGGGAGATGCAATGGCCAAGGACTATGTGATGCTAAAGTTAGATGAGGTCGTAAGGAAATTTGCCTGTATAAACGCTTAAAGTGCTAGAGAATGTGGATCGAAATTCGTCTATTTTTAATTTATAAAATCTTTTTCGTCAGTCATTAGAATGACAAGTTTAACTTTGCCTTGTAACTTTTGCCGCGTAGATGGGATTTAATTAAGTTGCTATCGGTCGAGAAAGTTTAAAGATACTAAGACCAAAGTCATAAGAATCGAGGACATCATTTTTGTGTTTTTTGTTGATAGATATAACCCTATTTTTCAATAATACATTTTTCTTTAAACTTATTTTCAACAATTCTCTTAATAAAATAACATTACACATAAAACTAAAACTTTTTCTTATTTTTTAGCTACACATTCTACAAAAATTCACAATATAAAATCTATTTTTATCAAATAATAGGGTTCAAACAAGGGCATTGTTAGTTTAGGCCATTTAGGTAGGAAATACGCTAGGTTTAGGTTTGGACCACAAAGCTTTCTCATTGTGCTGTAAATAACACCAAGGCCTATAAAAATAAAAATTTTAGTAAATTTTAATAAAAGTTGATAAAATATGTGATTGAAAAATTGATATATATGTAGATTCCATACAATTTATGTCAAAATTTATTTTAATTGTTAATTTAGATTTTCATCAATTTTTTTTCGCGCTAAACCAAATAGAGGCTTATGCTGAAGCTCCCAAACTTGTACCATAATGGTTCGACTATTATTGTACTCAGCTAAGTTGGCAATCCATGTCACTTTGCGACTCGTGTAAAATATTTATTATTTTCATTAAAATAATAAAACATAGAATTCAAAAAATAAAATAAATTATCAACTTCGGGACTCAATCTAAATCATCTATCATTTTTACTAAATTAATAAAACATAGAAATCAAAAAATAAAATGAATTATGATGATCATAAGATTTTAGGTTTTCAATTTCATTTCAATATATGACGAATGAAAGTGTAAGAAATGCTAAATTATGTACCGCTCTCTTTATGCATAATGTAATTTCTCATGATACATGGGAAGAGAATAACGTCTGATTTTGACGAAAAAATTCACACGAACGGCTGGATGGTTCAAGACATCGCGTTCACCAACTAGCCTAGTAAATCCGATTGTATTCAACTAAAGAAGGTTCAAGGCCACAAGCTACCTATCTTGATGCTACGACTTGTCGTGTGTACTCCGTTTGTTAGAGTCTGCATTTCATTTTCATTGCATTCGCTTTGTGTTGCGCATGCGATAGTTCATGATTGGAAGTGGGGGATTGTTGGATATTGGTTAAATAAATTGAGAATTGAAAATCGATTAAAGTTCGTATCGAATTCGGCCAAATATTCAAAAGCTCGACTCAATCCGTTTAGGCAAAATTGTTTGCCACTTCGCCGAAAGAGAATTTTGATTTCTCTGCATGTATTGAAGGGTATATTTGGCATTTCGAAAACCAATATCGGATGAATGAGAAATTACGAAAAAGACCTCAACCATTAGCGAATAGACACCTTTTCATAAATATGCATTGTTTGGAAATGATGCATGGTTTGGTCTCAACCATTTCGTCCACACCCCTTCATGGTCTATAAATAGGACCCTTTGGGTGTCCTATTCCTCACAGTTTGATATACAAAACGTTTCTCATCCTCTCTTCTATCCAAAATCAAAATCATTTCGTTTATTTTGATTTTCTTTCATTTCATCCTTGGAGTACATAAGCCTAAATTGGTTCGTTGTACTTGTGTTTTGGAGTGCTACAAACACAAGTGTAGCCGTTGTATCTTGGGAGTCGATTGCCGAAATTCGTAGGCACCGTTGCGGGGCAAATTCGACTTAAGGACAAAGAGTCCAACTCTTGCCTCGGCTTTGTCACCATCATTATACTTATTTCAGCGTCACTATTCACAAAATTCATCCAACACTTATTATAAGGAGCTTTTGTGACAGCTAGACTCAATTGTACACTAGTACAAATTCATGTATCCCAGCTCTGTAACAGGAAAAATATTTTACAGTTAAAAAATTAGGTTCTCTTCTAGTTTTTTTCATTAAAAATAAAAAAATAATTTCCTAAGATATAGACAGCCACAAAAATATGGGCTTTATTTGATGTACATAATTTTTTTGTACATCAATGTGTCCCACACTAGGTCGATCGAATATTTCATTCAAATGGATTCCACCACATGTGAGTATATGGATACCTTAATATGCAAAAAATTTTGTACATGTAGGTTTATCCGAGAAATATTGTATAGAAATTGAATTATAAAATTATCATATGTCATCCAAGATTTCGAGCCTCTCAGTACTTGACGCCGCCGGTAAGCCAGACACCACGTGCACCTCCCGGAGCGTCCCCACGTTACCGTCGCCGATCACGTGACAGCTCTTGAGGAAGTGCTTGTACGCCTGCGGTTTGTCGAAGCGGCGGACGACGGACCACACGGTTGCAACCGGCGCATCAATAGTTTGCACCACCGAGGATGAGCACTGGTTGGGTGCCACCGCGTGCGTGTGGTGGTGCAACACGTTATCCGGCACATAAATTTCGCTAGACACCGGGGTAACCCATGTGGGTGTCGCTTGTTTATGATGGAAATTGGCGGCGGCGCAGGTGGCGACTGTATCAGTAATCGGATTGATTCTATGAAGCTGAAGAGAAGAAGGCATTTCTATATTTCACGACTCTTCTCACTTTGTTGGATCTGTTCTAATGAGAACGAATTGTGAATTTGCAATGGGATGTGTGATGTTATATAAAATCCCAATTCGTTCTACATTCAAATATATCAGATACGCAACTAACGCAAGTGTAGAGAGAGTACAAATCTTTGTCTACTTGTAATAGTTTTGTTTATATATATATATATTTTACAAAGCTTAAATGGGTGGGGGTGACGTGGGGGTGTGCAAGTGGATGGGCAACTTGCATAGTCATATTGGACGCAGTCATAATTGAAATTGATCCAAACATGGGCTATAATTACGTGATCTGCCCAGGAGTTGGTTATCCTAGGTTTTTAAAATGAAATGACTGAAATGGCCTTGAGGAGAAAGTTAATTACTTGATTTAGGGGGAGCACGAAGAGTCAAGATCGTAGAGAAATGGAGAACGTCCATTAAAGAATTACTTGGTTTTCTCATAGCATCTTCAATTGTGGCGTAAAATAAAGAATTAGATTTTCAAGGTGGTCGAAAATATCTCCAATTAGGGGTGGACGTGGTTCATATGGTTTTGGTTCCAAGAGAACCGAATCGAACTATGAACCAATGATTTTTTTTATAATGGAACCAAATAATTTTTTTAAATATATGAAATGACACTAAACCCTGGTTTGGTTTGGTTCTGATTTCATTTCTTATATTTTTAGATTTGCATCATATAAATTAGTAATGTATACTTAAATAAGAAAATAAACATCAAACATTTAGGAAGTTCAAATTTCAATCATCGAGATAAAAAAAAAAATCATAACTAAAAAATAAAATTTATTCATAATTTGAATACACAAATCAATTTTCGTTTTCATACAAAAAATTGTTTAATAAATAATAACAATGATTTACTAAATTAATTGCAGGAATTTTGAAGGCACACCCCTATAATAAAGAATGAATTATCAAAATTTTGACAGCTCACTTCTATAGGTAACATTAACCGTTTAATATTTCATGAATGTTTATTAGGTTTTTCTCTATTTGTGAAGAACACAAATAACTCATCGAACAATCAAGGTAAAAAAGAGTATAGAAACTTTTTAAGTAATTGACCACTTTCATTTTCCGATCTTAAATGACACTCCACTGACTTGATGAAATGCGGTACCAGTATGCTGCGACGTTATGTAATTCGAAAAGGAGTGAAGGAAAAATAATTGAACTGAACACAAGATTAGAGTGTAAACAACTAATGAGTTGTTTATCTCTAATGACCCAAAATTGATTAAAAAATTGTATTCAATTAATAGGCTATCTTCAATGAATATAAAAATAGGGTCTCCACTAATTATTATATATAAAATTAAATATTAATTTTGGTTCTGATTCTGGTTTTTGAACTAGAACTGAACCAGAACCAGAACCAGAACCAGAACCAGAACCAGAACGAAATGATTCTTGGTTCACAGAACCAAAATCATTAATTTTTTTGATAGAACCGAACCGCTTGGTTTGGTTTGGTTCTGATTTGGTTTGGACATTTTGTCCACCCTTATCTCCAATGAAAAGACTCAGATTACATTTTTCGATATGAAATGTAAAAAAAATAAATATATAAATTTATATATTTTCTTACATTCATAAGAGGCAAAAGGTGGATTTAAATTTTCCTGTTAGAGTCAAATTTGAATTTATATCCACTTGAAGCACTAGTTGATAGGTTAAATGAAAGGTGATATGAAATGAGTTATTTAATTCTACCTTTCAATTAATGTCACATTGACGCCACCTAAATTGAGGTTGCAACTTGAATGGGGGCTAAATAGTATTACTTGAATATAAATGTTGACGCAAAAATAATTTTGAAGATATCAGTATACACTCAATTTTATTCCACCATTGAGAATGCTCTTAAGTGGAAATTATCTCTTTTATAGTTTTACAGTCAATTCTTACATAGTAATTTTGTTCATAACATAACTAATTAATGCGAGTCGAGATATTTTTCGTGTCTTAAATTTTTATTTTTATTTATGTCATCATTATTATCCGAGTGCCTAGTTTCCCCCACTTTTATGGCGATGACCTCCCCTATATCCGTCCTCGTGGCCCATGAAATTAGGGAGAGAAGGATGTCTCTATTTTGCAAACCCAATAAATCTTCTTGTACACCATGGTGTAAAGCCCTCTCACAATGTGAGGGGGCTCACATGAATTTCATAATTGTTTGTGAGAGGGCTCACATGAATTTCATAATTGTGGACCCCCTAATTGTGATAGGGGTGTAAGGGTACACCAAACACTACTGCAAACCGAGGGCCTAAATGGACTTCTACTGAAATTTGAATTGGGTCATCAATTTTATTTGTCTCAATTGAATTAGTGAATTTCAATTTGATTTTAAATTTGACCACTTTGTCACTCGTTGTACCCAAAATGAACTTTGCTATTTATTCACTGATTTTTGACACTTTTGGTTGATACTTGCATTATTGTCAAGTGTCAATTGGATGAAAAATCTGCTTGATTTAAACTATTCAATAGAGTAAAACCACGCAGTAATGTGTAAACCAAAGTGTACGTCACAGTGTACATGTAACAAGGTTCATCCAAAATTAAATAAATTTGCTTAATTGATAGTCATGGATCAACGGATCCTCCACATATCGTGGCACGCTTATTTGTTATTATGCCACGCCATTAACATGTTTACAAAATATATATATATATATATATATATATATATATATAAGGGATGCTAGTTGACATAATAATATATGATGGTGAAATTAGAATTCAAATTAATGCTTAATTACCCTATTGAGACGTATTAAAATACTAGTTTGAGTTGAACATGCATTGTACGTTACTCTTAAATACTTTATAAGTTTTGTAAAAGTAATATTTCATGTCAATTTGTTAGGATGATTTGATGAGTCTCAAACGAACTAAACAAAATATAATTTAGGATAGATATTTAAGAGAAGCAAATTGTACTTTCAAATCTCAACTTCTATAATTTTAATTTTTTGTGATGGTGAGCAACATTTTTATATTACATTTGGTATATAAGAATTAATTGCAAATACACGAATTTAAACGTCAGTTAAAATTTCTAGATACATAAATAGAAATAAATTCATCTATAATAATTATAGATTTATGTAGATCAAAATTCATTGAGCCAAATTAATGTGAATGTTAATTAATTGTGAATTAGAAATTTATAAATGACAAGAATTTTGTAGCATTTATTACATATTGAAAAATAAAAAATCAGATATTATTGAAATAACTAAATTGTCGTAAGGTTAAAATCACCAAAAAAAGGATTTCCACTTGATGTTGTATTTAATATACTATAAATAATTGACCCAATTCAGATTTGGTTAGAAGAATAGTGACCACAGAAGACATATACCCATAAACCACGTAAGGTAGGAGAAAAATCTTTTTCCTAAAAATTGAATTTTTAATAGATTTTGATAAAAGTTAATGAAATATAAGGTTGAAAAATTGATAAAAGTTGTGAATTCTAAGAAATATATAATTAAAAATAAGTTTGAGAAAAAAATGAATTTAAAAAATAGGATTCAAGCATGAGCTCAGTAGGTGGTAGAACTTAATTTTGAATTGGCATCCTTAGTAACCTCCGTAAAGTTTTGAATTGATGAATAGTCAAGATCATGATTAAATAAAGCTCGTGTAGTCCACCAAGAAAAGCCTATTTAGTAATAATATATTTTTAATATTGGAATCAAATATTTTTGTCATTTTAATTCAGTCAGTTAGCAACATCTAGACGCTAACGGCCAAGCTCTAACAAATTGAGCTACAAATCTATTGAAGAAAAATTTACTCACCTTTTACAATTAATTGTTTGAATTCATATAAATTAATTGAGCTACAAGTTTATGTATTGAAGAAAAATAAATAGGTTCGCCTTTTACAAAGAGAAGTAAAATGTATGGTTCTGTTTACACATTTTTAGTAGTGAACACTAAACGATATAGATTATTCTTAAAATTTAGGGGAAGTAGAACAAGAATTTGAATGTGCTCGGACAATTTTCCGATTACTTTTCAAGATAAATTGTAATTAATTTAGTTGCACTTTTTTTATTCAAATTGATACACGCGAGATTATATTTCAATAGAAATCTCAATATCACGTGAAGTACAAACTTGAGATAAAGGACACAACGATTATCATAAGTTTTGCCAATTTTTGCCAAATTGTTCTTATACTAAAAGGACAATCATTTAATTTATCAAATTTAAATTTCTTTCTCTTTTTACAGTTCAAAACTAATCATTTTGACAGTTGTTTTTAATACAATCAAATCCGGCTTTATTTGTGGCTAGTTGCGATTAATTTACTAGGTATATAATTTACTTTATGGTACAACTTTTCCATGATTCCAATTTGGCAATTTCGACAAATGGCTTTCTTTTTGGTCCATTTTGTCATTTGGTCTATCAACTTGATCATCTTTAAGTTGTAACACGCCCTTCAAACATGGTTGTCTTTATGAATATTACAACTTGTTAGTATCAAATTGTTATCTATTTTATATCCTGCAATAGTATGAATCATAAAAAATAATATACTTGACCAATGAGTTCGAAATATTGTTTTCATGAATACTACTATCTAATTGTTGAATAAATAATTCAACTTCAATTTGATTGAAAACAAATAGAAGTAACTATTTTCTTTTTGTGATTTTTTTTTAAATTGTAAATATTTCAAAAACTAAAAAAGTAAATTTCACCATAGTTATCCCCTCAATCTCAATTATCAATTTTTTTTAATAATTAATTATATAAACACGTTGAATTCTTTAATGTATTCAATTTACATATATCGAGGTCAAATTGATTTTATTTAACTAATTTAATTTCACATTTCTATGTTAAATCTATATATACCTTAATTAAACGCCTTAAAACTCTAAGAACCATTTAATGATGACTCTAACTAGAAAATGTATATCTACATTTGTATACTAATTGTTGAATTTTACTGCGTGGTATAAACAAATATTCCACTTCTTGATGTAATTATCACTCACAAATCAATGAATTAGTGGCCAGTTAATTCGAAGTGTTAAAAATAGAAGTAAAATAATTCACAACATCAATTAGAGATTTGAAACT